CCCTACTGACAATTTTATTTTAATTTATTTTATGTATCCTCACCTGAGAACATTCCCTCATTGCTTCTAGAGAGAGAGGAAGGGGACGAGGAGACAGAGAGACATCATAGGCTACCTGACCAGGGATGGATGCGTCCTGACCAGGAATCAAACCCACAACCTTTCGGTTATGGGATGACACTCCAACCCACTGAGCCACGCCCGCCAGGGCAGCCCATTCTTTATTTTGAGGACAGCCCTTTATACTGAAGGATATTTAGCAGCATCCCTGGTCTCTGCCCACTAAATGCCCATAACACACCTCTCCCAACTTGCGACAACCAAAAGTTAACCCTGATACTGCCAAATGCCACCTAGGGGAGAAAAATCTTCCTGGTTGTGAACCATGCTCTACACAAAAAAGCACCCAGATTTGTAAACATAACAATTGTGGGGGCAGAGCAGTGGTGATAAAAACAGCCCTAAAGATGGAAAGGTTCTGAAAAAGCTCATCTGCCAGCTCTACTGACAAAGTGCTTAAAGGAGGACCCTGGAATCGCCACACTTGGCGAACAGGTGACTTTGCTCAGTTCAGAGCCGCTTTTCCGTGAATCGTGTTACCTGCTGTTCTACAAACCAGCCCAGGAGGGGAGGCTGTCATCCAGGCCTGCACAGCGCCCTTGAAGTGTCCGTCCTCGCTCTGAGCAGGACTGCTGCTGGGCCATGGGCACTTGACAGAAAAACTCAGCGGGCGGGACTCAGAGGCCCACACACCAGAGAGGGACCTCCGAGCCCCTCAGGCACCACAGTGTCTCGGGATAAACCTCAGTGACTCAACACTGGCCTGAAATTCTCAGCAGCAGGCGCACAGAATAGTGTGAGTAAAATGTTAAAATTATACTCATAGCAATTTTCTAGATTTTAGAGATGTTTAAAAAAATGTAGAGTGTTCATGTTTTCTCCACATGGTCAGTCCCTGATCTAAAGGAGGAGTAAGGCAGGAAAATGATCGGGCTCAGGCAGCATTCGAGTACAAGATGAGAACATCACAGAAAGGCACAGCGTGTCCTGGTATGTACACGATTTGATTACAGGGTGCACTCTAGCTGCCCGGTGCGCTGTGCCTCCGGCTCTGTCTAGCTTTAGTCTGTGATTCCCAGGGTCTCTGAAACAGAGCTCTCCAGAGTCAGGTATGGGTTCAGTTTTTCTCCCACCGTGTTCCAAATATTTCTCTCTGCCCAAGCTTCTGAGACATAAGAGGAATGCTTCCTACTGCGACGTGCTGTAGAGCTTATTGAAACACTTCAGGAAATGCCTTCGACCTTGTTTTGGACTTAGAGAATGACCTCATTCAGAAATAGGTACAGTGTCAAAATATGGAATGTTCCAGTAAAATAAGCACATGATTCACTTAAAAAAAAAAAAAAACAAATACCTTGGTGGAGAGGGGCAGAGAGATGCCTGCATTCTTGATTTTAAGGAGAGAAATGGTTGAAAGAGATGTGGTATTTTTTACCTAAAATGTGGTAGACTACACTGTCATCTTTTGGCAAAGATGTAAAATGAAGAATCCCTTTGAAGATGGTTAATGCATTTCACAAATATTTATTGAGAGTCTTTATGAGCTAGTCACTATTATAAGTGGTAGAGATTCACCAAAGAAGAACACAAAGTCCTTTTCGACATTTAGTGAAAGGAGACCGTCAACCAACACATATGCTCTTCCATATTCGAGGCAGGTGCCATGGGGGCAGGGCAAAAGGCCACGGGGTTAGTGCTTTATGTGGGCTGGTCAGGGAATGCCTCTCTGATGAGGCGACATTTGGTCAGAGAACAGAAGGAAATAAAATGCAGGGCTCATGGATATCTATGGGTATCAAGATACTGGAAACAGTTAATAAAGATTCCACCAGGAAATTTAAACTCAGAAGAGCAGGCCTATCTGTACTTCATGGGGTGGGACGAGGGAAGAAGGGGGAGCTTTGGGAAAGCATTAAGGATTCGTTAAGCGCGTACTCCGAATGTATACACGGCTTCAATTGGGCAGGACATAAAATGGGGTTATGTGCTTGTGTATCTCTTACATGGTTTTAAATATGAGACCCATGGCTCTGCTAAGCATCACGGTCCTTTGCTGTCAGCTGAGCTGGGATGAACATGGGACTGTCTTTTGGACTTACCTGCAAAGTTTAGACTAACTCAGAAAGCAGAAGTTTGTCTGCATTGCCAGGCTGGGTGATGTTACTCATCTGGTTTGGGAAGTAATACAACCAGATCGTGGCTGACTGTGGGCCCTGGTCCAGTTCTCCGGATCCGGTGCCCGAGGTTGAATGGGAACAGAACGTGCCGGGCCAGGCAGGAAGGAAGACGGAGGTGAATTTCAAGGAAGAAATACGTAAAGATCTTGTCCCTTTGCATCCCTTACATGACCGTCCTACCTCAGACTTCAGAGTGAGCACCATGTCCTTCTGCAGGGCAAGATGTCTTCTCCTGGCTGGGGCGAGGATGCGAGGATTTCATCCCAGCTCCTTCGCCAGAGCTTCTACTGGGAAACTCTTCCCTTATATTCTGGGCCTCTAGATTTTCTCAAGAGGGGCTTCGCTCTCTTTAAAAGTGAGAAGAAAAGCATCAGTTAGTGCACCCCTTTCAGCTAAGCATCGCTTCAGGTTTCTGGGCGCCTAACATGTTGAAACAGGGCCTGTGCACCAGGTGGAAATGGTTTCCCTGTTCTCAAGGACAGTCAGACTTCAGCTGCACGCCTGGCAGCCTTGCCCTGCCGTGGGGGTGCTCGAGTGTGCGTGTTGGGAGTTGTCCACTGTTCATGAGAGCAGGGCTGGCAGGGGACTGGCGAGAGGGGAGGCTGGAACTCAGCTTTTGGGAGCTGAGGAGGATGTCTCTTCAAGTCCAGCTCTTGAACTAACTGATGAACCAAGGGCGATGAAAGAAGCGAGGACTCGCTTCCTGGAAGGGGTGGTATCCAGGTACGAGTCATTACCTGAGCAATTTTGTGCACCGTTCGCTATTTCAAGTGCTTCAGCATTTATGGCTTTTTGCTTTTACAAGCCTTTTTTTTTTGTTTTGTTTTGTTTTGTTAATGCTGTTGTACACTCAGCAAACATTTTTTGGACCCAGTTCTGTGCCTTGCATGTTCAAGAGAACTAGATAACATCCTTGCACTCACAGAATGAATGGTTTTGTTAAAAAGATAAGAGTTCCAGCAGTGAAACAGTCCAAGAAGGAGCAAGTGGGAAGCCACATGGGAGGCGTTAGCTCAGTGGGAAGCATGGAGGCTTTGGAGCCAGGTGGGCCTGGGATTGAATCAGAGCTCTGACTGTGACCAAGAGTGCACCTTTGTGAGGTTCACTTACCCTGTGCAGGCCTCAGTTTGCTCTTCTGTAAAATGGATTGGTAGTACCAAGTGTGTTGGCACATCAGACTGTGGTGATGACTCAGTATTACACACAAAGCACTTACGGCCATGTCTGGCCCCAAGATGCACTTACATTATCGTTGTTGTTATAATTATTAACCAGACAAGTAGACCTGGGTTCTAGTTTTGATTCTGCAATTAATTAGAGCACTTTGATAAGTCGCTTTATCCCACCATCTGTGCAGATTGTCTCTAAAGCAAAGAGAACAGTGTCGCTACAATGTAGTTTGCTTCCAAAATTCCCTGGATTTTGAACTGAAATCTGTCTGAGCAAAGACCCTAAAGGATGCTCCCCCTTGTTAGCGCTAATGTTAATGCTGACATAAACCATCGGTGTTTACGAGGGCTTGCTCTGGAGCCACACGCCGGGACTGGCACCACCGCCTCTGTCCTCTATTGCATGTGACACATGCGGTAAGGTGGATAGCCTTGTCCTGTTTCCCAGATTGTATTTTATCCAGTTTCACAGGTCTGAAGTAAGGATATATTATGTAATTAACAAGTACATTTCATATGGTGATGTTTTTCTTTTTTCTTTCCCAAAAGCCATTTCCAAGTGAAATGGGGCATCTCCTCACTGATGGTATCTGTGAACCAAAGCAAATGAATATTTTTTCCTGTATTTTGGATGATAAAACTGGCACTTAAGAGCTGTTAATTTACATGCCAAAGGTTAATGAAGTCACTAAGGCAAAGCCAGACTTTGAACTGATATTTGTCTTGTTTTGTTCACTCGAACATACTTCCTAGGAGCAAAGGTTTAAAAAGTTGCTAACAATTAGTCCGTCATTCATTTTCCGAAGCAAAATAGTATTTCTGATCCACTTCACTAGGTTGAACTGTAGGTCACCTATTTATTCTTAAAGAAATACATTTTTTTTGGCCTCCTGGCAGGACTTTATAGACTATGTATCTTGTGCCATGTGATGCTGACGTCTGTTAGATGTGATACCACCGGTGACATTGGTCCATCTGCAAAGTTATGTTCCTTAACATAAGAATCTACTGGACTCCCAGGTTTCCTCTAGAAATTTCACTCTGACCTCATTTTACCTGGGTAATGACAGCAGATTTTTTTCCTAGACTTTTCAGGATCTTGGGTCCTTACAAGGAAATAGGAATGTAGTCTTAGTGGTTGATTATTAAGCAGATTCATGGAAAACTTACAGCAGTATTCTTTGACCTCAGTCTTTATAGCCCAGCTAATCTTGGGTAAATATGAGGTTGTATTACTAATCTTTTGACATTTGGCACAGTTTAGCCATCAGAGAGGCCAGTTGTTACCGTTGAAAACTTTTGAAGTATATTGAAATTCTTCTCATTTCCTCTGTTTCATTCTCTGAAGAAAGAATCTCAGGGCCTTTTACATAGGCTGGGAGAACCTCCCAAACAATTTAATAATTGGCTGGTTAATTGTCTAAGATACCAAATCAGCTGTCATCAAAATACTTAGAGTTTCAGGGTGACAGTTAATAGAAAAAGATTTCATTAGTCTTTTGAAAGATTGTTGAGTGACAGGTGACTACTAGCCTTTGTTAAGTGTCCTTTGAGTCAGGAAGCGAAAGTTTTATTGGGCGGCGGGGGGAAGGTGTTTGTAGACCTGGTTCCCTGTTAAGTCATTCTGAAGTTCTCAAAGGAAAGGAGTCTCTACTTTCAACAAGACACGGTGTTACCATATTCACCTAGATTGAACGAACACATGAATGAATGAATATGTTGCCTAGGTTTGAGATTTGCCTTTTTTGCTCTTGCAGCTTCAGCACCAAAGCGAAGTTGAAAAACTGCATGTGGTGGAATTTGTAATTTGTAAAAGGTGTCAGGGTCCTGGCAAGAAACAGAGTCTAACTTAGAAGATTCCAGAGACCTTAAGGAAGGGGACACGTATGGAGGGTGGTTGGGGTTTAACTCACCAACAAGGCCTGTTGAGGCACCGGGACCCTCGCCGCCAAGGGGACTGTTACCACCGTGGACCTGGAGCAGCAGTGGAAGGACAAGGTGTTTCTCTAGGTCTGTGAGAGCAGGAGCCATGAGAAGGGGCCACAGGGACAGGGTGGGGGGAGGTCATCCCTGGCCTCTCTCTCAACTCCCTAATCTCTGTTGTTCAAACCCAGTAGGAAGTCGGCCAGGACGGGGCCTGGCCGTTGGGCCTGCAGCAGTCAGGGCGTGAGGTGAAGGAAGGAGGCCCCGGCTGGCTCCGCCGGGGGAGGAGGGCCGAACAGCATAACCAGCCCAGATGGGGCGGGCTATTTTAGAGCTGCAGAAGAATGGTGTATTCCAGCCTCTGAAAGCAAGCTGCCAAAGGGGAATGGTGTATTCAAGGAATCCACGTCCCTGACCTCATTGGGTCTTGGGTTAGCGTCCACTTTCGGGAACTTCCTTTCAAGACCACTTGGAATGCCTGCCAGCCGCCAGGACGGCAGGTCAGTTCAGCCTCTCCTGTCCCCCGGGCCCATGTGAGGTGATAGGGCTGAGAGGTTGGTCCCTGAGCTCACTGGGTGGGGGCAGGACCAGAGGGGAAAAGCAGAGAGGAAAGTCACCGAGACTGTCTCCTGGAAGTCTGTAGCCAAGGACAGAGTAAGAGCAGCACGGAAGCCCGGGCAGGCCTGCGCATGGGATGGCTTGCAGACAAGGGCAGGTCGCAGGCAGTGCTCCGTCCCATTACCTGCCACCCACCAGGGCCTCTGGGAGCCCCCGTCAGAGAGCAGGCTCGCTGAACTCTTTACTGGAAACGGTAGCTTCAAAGGATGATTACTCTCAGTATTAATGGAATTTTGCACAACTCACTCATCTCCCGACAGGAGGTTTGTGTTTGATGTTATTGTGGTTTCACCCACTAGAAAGGGGAAAAGGACATTTATAAATAAGGGAGAAAGATACTGCTTTGTGATGAAACATGTATTGACAGATTTTCATTTGCTGCATGGCAATTGCTGAAAGCAAATACCTGTTCACTCTCTATTCTCAGCTGACAACAAATAAATATCTTCCTCACACCATATTCCGTGGTTCATGTCTTAGTCCCTTCAGGCTGCTGTAACAAAATACCCCTGACTGGGTGGCTTGTAAACAGCAGAAATTTACTGCTGAACGTTCTGGCCGCAGGTTTGAGGTCATGGTCAGGTGAAAGCCCCCTTCTGGGTCTCAAACTTCTCCTGTGTCCTTACCTGTGGCAGACGCTAGGGAGCTCTGTGGAGGCACTTTTCCAAGGACACTAATCTCTTTTATGAGGGCACCAGCCTCGTGACCTAATCCCCCCAAAGTTCCCCGGCTGCTGATACCATTGCCTTTGGGGGTTAGGATCTCAACATGTGAATTTGAGGGGAACACACCGTCCTAAGCCACAGTGGTTCATTATCATAATCTTTTGTAGTTCTCTTGTGTCATCATGCTTTGATCTGGCAATATCCCAACCCCGATTAAATCCAGCCGTCTGCCTACACCATGCCCATACCTGAGAGCAAAACAGCATTGGAGCAAACACACAGCACGCTGACGGGTTTCACTGTGAATTCACAGCCACCACCTCACCGAGCCGTCAGCAATGCCTGGCTGTGCCTCCCCATTCCCCTCGTTTGTTCACTTTGCTGCTCTTCTAAATTACTGTTGCTCACCTTGTCCTCTCTCTTCAAGCCTCTAACACTTACCTCACATCCTACCTCTGTGCAGACAACCTTTCTTCCAATTTTACTGCCAAAACCAAAACAAAACAAAACAAAAAAACCCACCCAGAGACCAAGCAGAGAATCCGCCAACTCCTTCTGCCGCATCTGCTCGTCTCAGAAGCGGTGGCTGTGCACTGTGCCCCTCCTGTTGACCAGGAGCTTCTCCACCGCGCCTCTCCCCGTGACTCTTGCTTTCCTCCCTGCCTTTCCTCAGAGACATGAGCCCAGCAATTTTTCTGCTTCTCTCTTGTACTATCTATTTTCTTTCTCCGCTGGATCATTCCAATCATCATAAAAACATGCTGTAATGTCCCCATGTTATAAAAAAAAAATGCAGATACAATTGTTGATCCTCTGTCTTTCTTTGGCCCCATTTTTTAATCCCTTCTTGAATCAGCAAAACTCCTTGGGAGAGTTGCCTGTACTCCACTGACTATGGGGGGGATGGCCTTTGGAAACAGGGCGCGGTCGCTGGGACCATTGTGGTTGCTAAATTCATAGCCAGTCCCCAGCCTTCACCTTCCTTGACCTGTTTGGTCGCCCTGCTTCTTTATTCGGTCTCTGGGACACCACTCTTCCCTGAGTCTCCTGCTTCCTCACAGGTCTCCCTTGTAAATCCTCTTTGCTGATTTTCCTCCTCACCCCAACCTCTAACTGCTAGAATGACCCAGCAACAGGGCCTCAGGCCTTTTTTTCCTATCCCTTTGTCACCCAAAGCAGCTCCTACTGCCATTCCAGGAATCAAGCTCGTGTGCTAAGAGTGAAAACTGCAGTTCACAGGCTTTGTAGATTCAGCCTGTGCTCTAGCTGCTAGCGGGTTGCTGGAAAAACAGTATTTCTTGGGAATTTGAATACATTTACTCTTGTGGCTTTAAATACTATTTTATACACTGAAAACTTCCAAATTAATCTTCTCTGTGCTCTGGACACATCTCTTCAACTACCTAGTTGAAATCTCCACCTGATAGCCTATAGGCCTCAAAATTGACCTTCCCGTAACGGAAATTAATCATCCTTAACTGGATCATACCTCAGTCACCCCTCTCTCAGTTGGTGACACCTCCATCCTTCAGGTGCTTCAAGTAAAAAATATTGGTGTTGTCCTGACTCCTTTCTCTCTGTCCTTCCCCAGAGCCAATTCGTGAGCCAACCCTAACCATGTCGCACCATTTCCCTTGCTCCCGTCCCGGCCCGTGCCCCATCCCCCTCACCCAGGCCGCTGGGAAGGCCCCCAGGAAGTCTGTCTCCTCCACACTCGCCCACCCCCTCTCCACCCACCCGTCCATTTTCAGCACATCGTGTCATCCGTCCTCTGCTCGGGGGGCTCCCGATTCTTTCCCGTTGCCTACTGGCCTGGAAGGCCCTTCATGATCGGGGTCCCCGTAATCCTTGACTTCCCTTGAACAGATGTTTGTGCTATAAAATTGTCTGTGTGTCCTGTAAGTCTTCGTTCTGCAAAACGTACTCTACAAAAAGAGGGCTAATGAGGAACTAAGATTGGAGCAGGCCTCACCTGTCTTCCACAGCTTTGAAACTGCGCTGCTATCTAAAGCCACGACGGGTCTGCTGGGGGAGCCCGAGCGGGGGCGCACCCCCGGGGACACAGCTGCGGTGCAGGTGCTCATTCTCAGCTCTCTCCAGCGGAGCCGAGAGCACTCCAGCCTGTGCAGCGGCCCACCTGCGGGCCGTCTCCTTTCCTGCGAAGGCTGGAGTTCTACTCCTGCTATTCTGGCTGCTTTTGCCTAAGAAAAATCTTGTTTCCATGTTATACCAACATTATCCTACTATTTACCAATAGCCTATGAGCTAATGCCTGTTATTAGAAGCACATGTTGTAACAGAACAGCCTGTCCTCACTTACTGTCATCTTGGCTCTTTCCCAGATGTGTCAGGCAAGCACCTACCTGGAGCCTTTTGCTCTTGCGCTTGCCCTCAGCCAGCGTGCGCTACCTGCAGGAATCCTCCTGGGTGTCCTCATCTCTCTCCAATCTTTATTGAACTTTTTCTTGCAGAGTGTCCCCCCCGCCGTCAACAGTCTCCCCTGCATGCCATTGTGTGTTCTCCTCCAGAGCACTTACTGTCATCTGGGACATACTAATATTACTCACTCGTTGCCTGACCCACATCCATGAGTGCAATAGCTCTGTGAAGGCAAGGATAGGGGGTGGTTTTGTTTCGTTTGCCACCTTTGTGTTTCTCTGCTGTATCTTCGGCGCCTGGGACATGATCCCACACGTACAAGGCATTTCGTAAAGATGTGTTGAATGAATGAATGAAGGAGCTCAAACTTCCTTAGACTTCCTCTGAACTTCCTTCTTACCTACCGAATAGTCCATCATCTGCCTTCATGTCTTTTCTGATTTGTTTGTTTGTTTGTATGTGACAGGCCAGGGTCTTTTTAAACCTGCCGTCCTATTTTCTTTGGTCTGCATCAGACTCGCATGCTGTTTCATACCCCCCACACTGTCCCTGGGCTTGTTCAAACCCCCACAGCTTTGCTATTCTAGTGATTTATTGCAAGGGGTAACCCGGGGGAAACTGGAGATGCACGCTGTGCACAGCACGCTGTATGCTTCCGCCAACGTACGCGCTCCTTTCTCCCATTCTAGGGATCCAGGCCCTCATGCTACCAATTAAAAATTCAGTCCACAGACTTTTCAGATTTAGCCTGTGCTCTGGCTGCCACTAGGTTGCTGGCAAATCAAATTTTCATGGGAATTTGAATGCATTGCCTTTACACCCACTGCCAGTCTCGGTAGACAAAAAGACAGGTCATTCCAGTACTCCTGAGTGACAGCCACGTGCACTTTCGTGCTTATGTTGTAAAGGGACAGGGACACGGTGACTCTCTCCCTATGGTTCTGGGCCAGGCTTCACAAGGGTGGTGATGAGAGCAGTTGGGGGGAGGGGTTATAATAAGTACAGAGGTTCTCGAAGCAGAAAACAGTGGGGGGCACAGAATGGGCAGGTTCCTGGTGGGTTTGGTACTGGGACCCCAATATCTGAGTCAGGCTGCCTGGCCCAGTGAAATGCATGAGCAGAGTCGAGCTGAGAGCTGATTGGTCAGAGGCGAAGTAAGAGTATAATGAACCATTTCTCCAGGTCTTGAGGACAGTTCTGAGGTCTGCTCTGGCGTCCGTCTGTCTGGTCTCGTGGGAAAGTAGCCAGAGGGTCGTTCCACCTGAGGGCTCAGGAGCCAAAACAGCTCGGGTCAAGATGTTATCTTTAGCCTGCAAGAGGTCCAGGTCTTGTGACCGGTAGTCAGGTCCTGACTACTGTCTCCTGCTATCCTGGGGGCTGCTGATTATGGGGGGTGGGGAGGCTAAGTCTCTGAGGGAGATATAGATATAGATAGATGGATAGATATAGATATGTATATAGTGAGAGAGAGAGATGACATTTAAAGCTAAATTTAATCAAAGTCATAAGGACCCTTGGTTTCAGGCTGTGGGACCAGTATGGTGAATCATTTGGCGTGGAGGCAGTGGGAGTGGGGGTAGGGTAGGCTGAGGAGAGCGGTGAGCTCATGTGCCATAAAGAGTTTGGACTTGAGCCAACCAGGGAACTATCACAGTTCTCAGTGCTGTGGCTGGACTAGTCTTCCCACTCACCTTCCCCAGCCAGTCCTGGGCTTCTTGACACTGTCAGCTTTGAGCTTATATGGCTTGTGCCCAGTTCTTAGGTGAGTGTCTGGCATGTATAGAAAGACCTATTTGTTTCATGAATGTATATATTGATGTATATATTTGTATACCAAT